GCGACAATTGAGGGATTGCTACAGTTACCGTTAATGTACTAGAACTGCGACTGAAGCCGACACGTGCATAGAGACCGCGACTGGAATCTAGAAGGGAGACAAGATCGACAAGTGATCAGGGTGGATACCGTGGCCAGTATTGAAACAAGCATAGAGGTGAGATGCAGAATGAAGCTGGTATAAATACCACGACCAGGAGTGTCAGGATCCCCCGTTCCCTAGGCTTCCGTTTCCAAGGAAGGGAACCCACTTGTAGATTCGTTTTCACGCGTTTCTGGTTATATTGAGATATATGGACGTGCTTATTCTTTCAATCTGTATCAAGTGGATATCGATTTCCGGATTCCCAAGGACGGAATCCGCACCAGGTTCAGGATTTCCGAAAACGGAACTCTTCCGGGATTTCGGATTCTCAGGATCCCGAAGCCTACTTGAAAATTTGTTTCCATGTGTTTTTGATTATGTTAAGACTTATGGGCGCACTTATTCTGTCAATCTGTATTGAGTCGATATGGATTTTCAGGTATGAAAACCCGCACCGCGTACCGAGTTCTTGAGAACGAAATCAGAAACTGACACTCCTAACCACGACCACCACTAAAAGCGCCACAAATACTGGAACGTTGACGGAAATGGTCACCGGAACTAGATCAGATACGGGCACTACGGCTGATATCTGAATGAGTATTCGAATGGTGTCTGAAATTGGTATGATTTCAAGGACTGCAAGTGAAAGCGTGAGCAGGATCGAGACGAGAAATGACTGATCAGGTTCATATGTAAAAATCGCGTTTGGAGTTCGACTGAACCAGGATTATGTTTCTGAGCAACAAACTATGTCCATTGAAACTTCAGCGTTTAATGGATTGTTTGTAATGGTTGAAAAAAAACCAAATGCATCCATTGTATAGCACACGTTTTACTAATCGTTCGATTGACTACGTATTACCATCGATTAAGCTTTGCGTATAGCGTGGGACAGAGCAAGTAAAACGAAGGTAACTGCATTCATACAAAAAATGAGTGTCTCTCGTTATAATATCATACTCAGACAATAGACACATACGAATGAATGTGCAAAAGCGAAGCAAATTTGCCACGTATGCATAATCAACATAATGATTCACACTAGCGCATAGAACAAGGTCGTTACATAAAATTCTTAATTTGGTCGTGAACTAAAAAAGATCTTGCACGAATACAATGAGGTAACGTATATTTATCAAAAGCACGGTCTATTCATAACGTCTTGGTGATCATGAGTATCGAGCAGATTTTTCTATCCTCAACTGTAACTATCGACCTTGAGTAGTGATTTTTTCGTATCGTTGCAATTTTTTTTCTTCCGGCACAAACTTTCTGAAATTCTGTACGAAATGAACAACAGAGACTAGCTACTGTAGAGTCACTCTCGACCAAATCCATCTATATCATGGACTGTCAATACAGTTTTTGAATTCCAACGTAGAAATACAAACATCTAGTACTGTATTCTTCTATCATTCGAAAAGATTTAAGCTCGTTGAATATAAAATGCAATGCAGTGTGGAACACCCTTCTCCAAGAAATTTTCGTGGAATGGATTCTCTTTAAGAGAGTATTTGACGAAGAATGTGCTTACGATTTCCCCTTTAACAGCAAATAGAGTTTGAAAAGCACAATATATAGTTTTTGTGATGTTCTTTTACGTTGTGATTGCACTTGGAAATTATTTGAAATTGTGAAAACAAAAAGTTAAGGTGGCGGTTCTTCAAAAGTGCAAATATTAGCACAATGACTATTGTTTGAAGACCGTTTATTCCATTGTCAGTCGATGCGAACAGTTGCAATCAGCCAGCATTTTCAGTTTTTCACCGTCGACAAAACTGATTACGTGGTAGCAAATTATTTGAGAAGATCGACCGCGAAACATTCATGTCTGTCTTCATGTTACGACGAAGTCCCAGAGTGCCACTGTCATGAATAAAACAGAAGTACTCTTCTTTTAAACAGTTTTCGATGAAACAGCTAACCTTGACTTTTGGGAGTTTTGCGAAAAGAAAGGAAAACTTTAGAAAACTTTGTTACAAAGAAAAATAATCATGAAAGAAAGAGTGGAACAGAAGTAATTTTATTAAAAAAATAATTTAATTTAGTTTTTTAGGTTTTATTTTATTTTTATTACAAGCAAAACTCGTGTTAGCGCAGCCCTTTTGGGCCTGGAATGTGGACCTTACATGTCCTCTTTAGCTTCATAATACTAAAATAAAATATGCAAAGTGCAATCTCTCAGAGACCGAAGTTGTTCTCCAACGATAACTAATTATCAGCAAGCGTTCTAACTTTTTTACTGCTACATGTTCAAGAGAAATTTTGTTTACTTTTTTTCGACTGGCGCTCTTTTTTTCTTTGTCGTGTTGCTATTTGTATGCCATTAATTTTCTTTTAACATTTGAAATCAAATGGTAACGGGTACCTGGATCCGATCTGAATATGTGGGGTAAAATGAGACAAAGATCGACGACCGGATAGGGGCTGAAACCCATTGACAAACTGGAGCGGCTACAGGGATCGTGATCAGGACTTCACCAGATATGGTGATCGTCACTGCAAATGGGGCGGCTATAGGAAGTAGAACTCAAACAAGGGCGCATAGCCGGACCAGGCTGGAGTCGGCGAAACAAACCGACGCTGAGGATTCAGTACCAGCAAGTGTGAAGTTAAGACACGATATGAGACAGCTATTGGGACCCGAACCCGGGATAGTGACAGAAATCAGGAATGTACCAGAATCTGCTCGCAAACCCAGTCATAAATGAAGACGGAGAGACGAAGTGAACCGAACATGAGAGCCTTGGATAAATCTGAAGAGGTTACTGGGACCAGAAACGGAACTTGGATAGGTATAGGTAGAGGCGGTGAAACCCGAATCGATATTTGACGGATCTGAAATCTAGTCGAGAAGCGCAACCCGACAGAGTCCGACCCAGTGCCACCACCACAACGAACAGTAGGATCGAGCCTGAAGCCGACAACGTCATCAGAATTCTGGATCTAGTCTGAAACTATAGTCTGAGGTGAGACGAGTAATTCAGCTGCAGTGAAATGAAGGCAAGCATCAGACCTAGAATTGAATCACGGCTACCAGAGCTAAGTTGATCGGCACTGAGATCAAGTCTCATACTGGCACCGCGACGAAATCCTGGATGAAAGAAAGATCCGACAGTATCCTCGACCTCACAGTCGCGGAAATTGGGAACAAAACTAAGTCTCAAGCCGAAACTGTAAAGGAAAATGAAGCCGGCTGCGACAAGTAATACGACCATAACTAAGACTGACACGAGCACGGGAACTGTCAGAGAATTCGGCGTGAACGGCAAACTGGGAGTGAAACCTAGATGAGTAGCGGGCCGCGTTTGGAACACGGAGCCATGTTCGGGCTTGGTCCCAAACGCGGAGGTAGGTGTTATGCAACGGAGCTTGTATCTCGTATCACTGTCACGATCGGTGCTGGGTCGAATCGGAAGCCAAGATTAGGACCGAGTGTGTGTAACTGTAAACCAAGCTGAGGCTAGTACTGACGAGAGAGGTACCCAAAGTGATTAATCGCTTTTGAGTCGAGACTATGTGAATCATATAGTACCTATTGAGTTACGAATACCCTGAAAAGAGTTCGAGCCCATAGCTTATTGCTGGCAAGATACTGGATTTTTACGGTAATTATTAATAGAATGCTGTGGCCCTTCTCAGGAGCACCAGAAAAACTTATTTTCGAATTTCGAATTTCGACTTGAAACTTTGTACAGATATAAGCCTTAATGAGAATAGTTTATGGTGAAAGTTTCAAATCTTTTGGTTGTTTCTATCCCGAAATACGAACATCGAGTCTGTCCATGTGTATGAGCGATATAAAAGAAACGCTTTGACCATAGCCGTATTTCAGGATAGGAACAATTAAAGGATTTGAAACTTTCACCATACACTATTCTTATTAAGACTTATATCTGTGCAAAGTTTCAAGTCGAAATTCGAAAATAAGTTTTCCTGGTATTCCTGAGGGAAACCATGGTATTCTGTTAAAAAATACCGTAAAAATGCAGCGTCTTGTCAACAATAAGCTATGGGTCTGAACTCTTTTCAGGGTATTCATAGCTCAATAGGCACTATCTGATGCACATAATCTCGACTCAAAAGCGGATAATCACTTCGGATACCTCGCTCGTGAGACTGCAACTGAAATTACGACCACTGCTGGCACTGGAAGTAAAACTTGCATCATTGCTGGGACGGCGTCTGAATTCGTTACCTGGCCATAGTCTCCAGATCCAATTGCTGCGAGCACTGACTCTAGGATCGAGTGTGAAGTCGACATGCAGCTGGGTTGGGCACCAGGACGACGATATGAAGTGCGATGGAGACAAAAACTAAAATGGGAATAGGAATAAGAATATTAGTCGGTGTGAGATGGAAGACGACGACAAGAATGCGAGCGAAGATGGCGACCGAAGTTGATACTGAAGCCGGGATCCAGGTCGAGGCCAGGGTTAGGAATGATTCTGGACGGAACTGATATGGACACTGAGGTCGGGACTCCATCGAGATCTCGATGTTCACGGTATCATAACTTGCGACACAAATTGATCTCTGTGCTGGCGTCAAATACGATTATCTTCTCTCACGTGTGGAGGGGACGTTCGAGGTTTTATTCGACCAGAATCATGGTATTCCGCAACAAACTATCGTCAACGAAGCCTTACTTTTTTTGTTGATGCTGTACAACAATGACAAAAAACCAAGTAACACACTGGTATAGCGCACATTTTGACGACTAGTTGATACACTCTCTATTGTTGTTGATAAAGCTGTTCGAACGATACAAGGTAGAACAAGCAAAACAAAGGCAAAATATTTATGCACAACAAAAAAATATTTCTAACTATACATCAAGGCTTGTTATTTTACATATACGGATGAATGCGCATAAGCCAAACTTATTTCACGTCGTATACATATATATATATATGCAGCGTAATGCTTTTATCTCTCACATTCAACAGCATCAATATCTTACACTATTACGCTTATCGTCGACAAACAAGATTTCGTACGTATACAACGGGCTAATATATATCTTTCGAAAGTGCGCTCTCTTCAGAAGATCTTCTTAGTCATTAGTATCCAGTAGATTTTTCTGTCTTCAATTAGTATTACTAACCTTGTATTATATTATTTGAGATCACGGTAATTACCTAGGGTATACTAAAAGTAATGACACTGGTACTAAAATGCCTTATAGAAAGTTCAAGATAATTTTCTCTTTTTCTATAGTGATAGTCCACTCAGTGCTGTATAATTTTATGATAGTTCATAATTTTTCAGTTGATATTGAAATATTGGAAGCACAGCAAAAGTAGTGGCGGCTCGAAGAAAAAAATATATACATAAGACAGTGAAAAAGTTCTGAGAACTAGTAACATCACTGTAATACAAAGTACATTATATTTATTTATCTACAGTAAAAGTTAGAAGACATCATAATAATGTTCAACAGTAAGCTCAATTTACTTTTGAATAATCTTTTTGTATTCATCGACATGTATCAAACTAATTGCTCGGTTATTGCTTGGTTAAATTTATTGCATCTAGGTAGATATTTAATCTATATGTTAAAATAATTGAATGATAGAAGCTCACACGAAGCGAGACCAATTGAATGCGTCTGACAGACTACATCTTTAAATTCTTTTTTCTTTAATAAATTTAATAAGAACACTTTTTATATGCGGTTTGCAGTACCATGATGGATTTGATACCACCGATGCCTCATGATAGTCTTTGTTAAAAAGCTTCTTAACTAATCGTTCATTGAACATTATTGTGATCATTAGATAGCATTACCAGACTGTATAGAATGCACCTGACGAATAAGTAATGCTCACGTTATCATAAAGAAAATGACAAACATTATTTCTTTACATGTTGTCATCTTCTTACGATAAGTAAAATGTTTTCTTCTTTTATAGCCTAGGATTCCTTGTCACCTGTTTTAATGCATTCTTCTAGAGAATTAAACGAGAAATTGTTTAATAATTGTCGCATCCTTAGTGAGCAAAAAATTGAAGAGACATTGACGAAATACAGATACCGCATTTTAACTTGGACAATCCAATACATATATACATATGGGGTTGGCCAGTCTAACCGGATACCCCATTAATAGTTTTTTTATTGTAAGGATAAAACATACTATTGTTCGGGTCATAGGAAAGAGGATCATAGATAACCCTGGATTGGCCCGAACAACACCATGTTTTACCCTTACAATAGTGGAGAAAAGTTACTAGCTCACACTATAAGGTGGTAACTTTTTTCTACTATTTTAAGGATAAAACATGGTGTTGTTCGGGTCAATCCAGGGTTATCTATGATCCTCTTTCAGATGATCCAAACAATAGTATGTTTTATCCTTACAATACAAAAAATATTAATGGGGTATCCAGCCAGACTGCCCAACCCCATATATATCTATGCCAACTAACCGAACTGTAACAGGCGAGCAAAGAAAATATAGCCCAGTAAGTCTTTCGACTGTTCAATATTGCTTCGTCCTCAAAAGAGCTTCACTCGAAAATGGTCCAGTGCTAAAAAAATCATAATTCGTTGCTGTTGACGTCAATATTTTCAAAAATCAACATTGAAATTTTGTTCTTGTCAATCCAACATTTACTTCATAGTTTGAATTGTATGTTTTAGAATTCAAACTTGCAACTTTGGTTCCAAAGTTTCTGACGATAGTGAATCGTCGATATCGCAAGAAATGTCAACGGAAATATTATATGAAAAAGATACGGGTACAACGAAGAAGCTGTAAGTTTGTTATATTTTCGTTCGCCAAACGTTATAACTAACATGCTAATTTGCTATTGACAATCAGGAGAGATTCCCAAGTGTGAACGCTCTTCTCGACCGGTACTATTGCCATTGAATCAGTCATAACTAGTTGTGTAATGGTTTAACACTCAATTGAAAGTCAGGGTCTTTGAAGTTGAGTTACGAACATTATTTTGATCATGCCTCGATGTATTCTAAAGCTTTTCCGAATAAAATTGGGTGTCGTATTTTTGGTCTGAACTTTTGCATACAGGCAGATCTCGTCGTTGCCAGATTTTACTACAAACTTCAGCTCGAATGGATGCTTCTTGGAAATATTGGTTTTTCAAGCAGATCAAGTGTGTTCAAATTTTTTTTTATAAAACATGAATTCTTAAAAAACATAATATCTCCAAATGGAAAGATATGTTTTGACGGTAACTTTTGGGACATTCTGATAACAATGAGACCTATCCAAATACCAATTTTCAGATAAAGAACAATTCACCTGCTTCTCCGAAAAGCTTTAGAAGAATTTGAGAAGCGAATATATAATACTCATAGCTCAGCCACAAAAGACTCATATATTTCATTTAAGTTAGGAACTTACACTACTTGTTATAAACGATAAAATGACTATAGTCTTAGTTGAAAACCTATTTTCAACTCAAAGGTCTTATTTCATCAACTCAACGTTAGCACTGCTTTCGCTTTTGTATTATCCAAACATGCATGATATACCGTTTCTGTATTTTTATTTCAGAGAAACGTTTGCTAAACAGATCATCTTGGGCATTGGAACGTTTACTGGTTTAGTTTTGCTTGGACTTCTCATTGTGATCATAGTTTTATTGATCTCTGTATTTCTTAAGAACTTTAATACGAATGCTGTGGCAGACGACAACACAGGTTTGTCAACTCGTACTTTCAGCTAAACAGTAGATCATTCTATTTATTGAGTCATTATTGTTTAAGGTTCAGAAATAGTATGGGAGGAAAGAGATAATTGGGAGTTCAGTTTTTCGCTAACATAAACGTATAGTAAAGGAATCCTGATCAGGAAATCATACCATGGATCTTTAAAAAAAGATTGCATTCAAGATAGTTAAAAGCGTTGAGCTTGTTTTAAGGGAATTTTGATTGCTTTAAGATCCATGTTTTTATTTTGTCGTTCAGAAATAGTCAGTTATTAAGTAAAAAGGTTTTCTTTCATCCAAATTACGATAAGTATCATTTTTTAATGGTGCTTCGAATAGACAAAATTTCTTATTTAGGAAATTGAAAATTATTCATCATACGATCTTTCTAGTTATCTATTAAGTTTTGTAAACGATTCAATCGAAACTAATCAGTATAATCATTATAGCCCTCCGTTCCCTGTGTTAAAAATGGCGATTCTCATCATCGAAAATTCTTTCATGTCTGACGGTGATTATTTAAACAGTTTTTAAGGAGTAATAAAGCCTTACGTTATAAGACCTCCAAGTCATTAATTATCTCTTTCATCCAGGATTGGATGAATGAAGGCTTAGTTGATAAATATATTACTTTTTTCGGTAATCCTAATGATGTTTCACTTAGTTTAGAGCTGCAGTTGTTCATGAGCGAGTTTCAGTTTGCAAGATATTCAACATCATTTTGCAAAGGTTATTTCAATGAGAAATGTATGATAATATACATGACTTAATCTAAAACGTTTGAAATTTACAGAGTTCATAGAAATTGAAACCACAATTATTTTTAAATCAAAATACTGCTGATTTAAACTTGAATCGGAGAAGATTAAGATATTTTTTGAATTTTTTTCATGAAAACACGGAGAAAATTAGCCAATGGTTAGTATGTGTACTATTCGTCAACTTTGTAGAACAATTGAATAAAAGTTCAATTATACGTTCTTACAGCGCAAAAACGGGATATTATTTCATGTATGACCAACAACTATTTTGAATTCTATGGAAAAAATAAATTGTACCATAATTTTAATGGTCTCTCTATGTATATGTATATATATATAATTAGAACATCAAAAGTCACTCGTATAAGGCAAAACTGTATTTGAATGATTGCATATATTGCCAGTACATCTTGTACAGAAAAGTTTACTTTTTCTGGATCTTCGAATAGTTTATTGCATATCCTGAAGTCTAATGGTTAGCTAGTAACAGCAGTCATTCGATTTTTCGTAAACTCTTAAAGATCAGTGTGTAAACATTGTTAATAGTAAAGAATAGAATGTGCGCGAGTAGCTTCTCCTCCACCCTCTTCCAACTCCCATTCAAAAAGTGTAATTTTTGCATATTTCATAAAGAACTCTGAGTATGGCTTAGATGAATGTTTAGTTGAGATCTCGGTACGTGATTTAGAAGGTCTCTTATATTGGTGTATTGAAATCTCTTGATAAGCTATAAATCATCGTATTGAGTGGATTTGGTGCTTGATATTTCGTCAAGTCCAACATCCGTAGAGTGAGTTAGTTTTAATACGTATCTTTCAGTAAAATAGAATTCGTTCAAAAATTGAGATTAGCGGAATTTGTTCTTCATAAATCCAGCTAAATACAATCCTGAAAAATTTGCCAGAATGAGTAATGATCGATATCTTGTTGTGCGCAAAGTTAGAATTAATGAACTTTTATTGATCGAGAGCAATAATGCTCAGAAATTTGTCAAAAAGTGCTCATTTGAAATTCTTTCAAGATCCTTGTCACATCGCCGTAATAAGTTTTTTCAAAATTATTTTCTGCTACTAGTGAAACATGTATGTGAATAAAAATCGAGATAAGAAATGTAAAATCTGTACAGTGATCAAAATATAGTTTTTCAGAGAAAGTGCCTAGAAACGGGCGATTTTCACTTGATCTTCCAGTGATAATTGAATATTTTCACTGTACTGTGATATTTTTTTTGCAAGTGGATTGTGTGAATTTTCATCAATCTCTTGTCTCGATAATATTTGAGACAACTAGTCCAATCTGACGCTATCAGTTGAGCATTTTGTTCTATGGACTACGCAGTGCGACTGATATGTACGAGAATCTGTCACTTTTGCTATATGGTTTAGCCTACCTCTTTTTTTTGTTGTGTATTTTCAGATTTTCTATTTCGCACAAAAACGTAAAAAGTATTAGTAACTAAATAATATATGGAATTAACAGTGGAAATATTCGCATGCGCTAGTTTCTATATTAAAGATGAATGAAAGTTCTCGTTTTGATAGCTTTTAAAATACTGAGCAGTTTTCAGATTACCTCCACGGACCACAAAGACAAAGTGATGATCCTCAACAAAAAAGTTAGAAGTATCGTTCCCTTATCTTTAAGAGCTTGATTCAAGTCGCCGAAATGACATATTCTTTTTCACAATAGAATGTAAAAATCTATCCTTATATTTCTCAAAATCAAAATTAAGAGATGAACAACATGGATCATTGATGGATCGAATTTTTCTTGTCGTCGTCTGTAAGTGTAGTTGATCTTCACAGATGGATAGAGTGAGAACCTTAAAGTTTGCTAAGTTCTGGTAAAAAAGCATTGTCTTGTAGATATGACCCCTAGTGCATACTATCTAGAGTGATAATAATAGAGAGCGCATTGAAAGTATTTTTCTTCTATTCAATGTTATTTGACGTTCGTAAATCAATTTTTTTTTCTATGCCGATTATGTTTGAACAAATTTTTCAAAAAATGACTCAGTTGTTTGCAAAAATGTTCCGAGAAGCGATTGCCTATTTTGAACATTCATTTCATATTCTAGATTTTGGCGAAATAACGCAAAGTTTCTCCACAAATTGGATACCGAGCAAGAACCAAAGTATGACAGTCATCAATACTGATGAGATTGCTCGAAAAGTAATCGTATTTGAATTCATTATCATGTACGTCTAAACTAATTAAATTGAACAAAATTCTAGTTAGAAGCAGTTTATGGTATCAAACCAGGCTCGATTCGTATCAGTACTATTATGATCAATAATGATCAAACAAATGTTGATGGTCGTCGTCATCGTCGTCGCCGTCAACTTGACAGGAAAAAACGTGAAATGTATGTCTTCATATTGCTTGATTTTTTCATAGTGTATCTGTTCTCAATATCTGTCTAACTTTGTTTCAGACCGAGATGCGATCAATTGGGATCTGATCGCTCAATTGTAGAAATAGCAATGAATGTAATCTATCCATCAAGATGTGGCACGTCTATGTCTTGCAAAACAGATTTCGTCGCTGTTGTCCAAGAACGTATTGCTGCATATATGTCAAATATTTTACTGGAATTCAGATTTGCTGATGGAAGCTTCAATGAACTTATGTTGACCAGATGTCATAAAGACACTGATTCATCATTAAACTCTTTATTACGGTCACGGCGCGCTCCTAAAACCACTACAACACCAGCCACTACAGCAAAAGCCACTACAGCACAAGCCACTACAACACAAGCCACTACAGCAAAAGCCACTACAACACAAGCCACTACAGCAAAAGCCACTACAGCACAAGCCACTACAGCAAAAACCACTACACCTAAAAGCGCTGCAACATCAGGTAAACAGCTCTATGTTCTATAAGTTTTTTGTATGCGCTGGCACTAATAGTTTCGCTATTCAGTTTTGAAAACTTAAATTAGTACCAAAAGTCAAAAAACGAGTGCTCTACAATTTTCTTCTGAAATAATTTTCAAATCTATCGTTTGATCAACGAGTTAGGTGTAATATTTAAAGAATGTTGAATGCCTCAGCTTATGAGAATTTCGTAAGTCAATAAATTGGTATGTGCATATGTTTCAGCGTAGTAGAAATGTCTTGATAGTACACCGTGTATCATTTAAAAGCCATTTAATATTTTCATAAACGCCTCTTTTTGAATTAAATTTAAATAGAAATAAAAATGTTCACTGAATAAACATAGTTATTCATGAACTGAGCAGTCTTTTTTTGGAAATTTTTCAACTAATGGATTTTTCCCATGATAAATTGTCTATTATGAGCTCAACAATATCTACGCATTTCGTGGAAAACTGACGTATTTCCATTTCCACTTTACTAAGTTTGTATTATGCTATACAGTATTCAGCATACAAAGCATTTAATTTTTTTGAATCATATAGAAGATTTCGAGTGATATTCCCAGGTTAACCGTTACGAACTTCGTAAACGAGGTCGTATACGACTGTATCCCGCCGTATTACATGGTTCAGTATTACGGTCGTATATCTCCGTGGCCGTATGCAGAGAAATATACAGTGTACACGCTTGTAAACAAGAGTATTTCAGTCGTGCACAATGATATTCGATTGTCTCTAACTGTTTATGTCCAAAAGCGAGTAGTCGTAACATTACAACTGATTAGCCTATTATGACTACCAATGCATTATTTTTTTTAAAGAAATGGTTCAAAAACATATATATGTAAAAATTATCAGATCAAAAGTTTCACAATAAGAGGAAATGAAAATACATGAAATAGCGAGGAATTTATACAGTGAGACAATAAGAAGAGTAGCAAAGTAAAAAATACAAAAGGAAATACTCGATCAAATGAATGTAGATCAAAGAACTAGAACAAAAAACAAACAAAACAAAATATCTTATCCTAAGAAGAATATGTCGAGCATTGAACAAAGCATATGTTTGATATTTTGTTTTAGTTCACACGCTGCTGGTAAAGATGTTTAAATAATTTTATTGATTCGATGAAATAGTTATTCATCCTACCATCACTTTTAAAAGATTATCTAAAAAAGAAAAAACAATTTTAGATAGGCTACCTATAGAATAATATCTTTCTTGTCGTAATCTGAAGAGAGAAAACTAATGAAACAAACTAACTAATACAAGTAGCAAATATATATAGATTTTCTTTCTTTCCTCTTTCTCTTCCTTCTTCGTGTATCACTTAAACGATATCAACGGAGAATGCAAGAAGAAAGATATTTGTACTAATTAGTTGTATATTTCGTTCGGCATACTATATTTATGTCTTCTGTTTATAGTACTTTCTTTCCGTTATAATGCTTTTTGTTCGGATAATTTCTTCTCGTTCAATGATCCTAGGAATTGTTTTGAAAGCAGTTTTTTCAATCAAAAACTGCAGAATTATATATCTAGAATATTTAAGTTTTGATTAAAAATCTTACTGAATCAACATGTATAGTTAAAAATGCCATCTGATATTACGCATATAGTACGATGGTATAGGACTGTATACGATGATATACAATCGTAAATAAAAAATCGAGCAATACTTTTCCAAAACTCCATATGTTGTTACAATCTTCGTATACCGAAACCGTTTATCGCCGCTCTACTCCGTATACGATCATCGTACATCAAGACTATGTATAATCTCCGTAGACGGTGGTTGATGAGCGTACTTGTTCGATTTGGGTTGACTCAAACAAAGCCATCGATAGAGTATTGTGAACATTACTATTCTATATACCAAAGTTGAAATCAGTAGGGCTTTTCATTACCGTTATCATTATCGGTACCTTACTAAGCAGCCAGAACAGAAAGGATTAGCCAGTATATAGCCATAAGTAATTCTTAATCTTTCGTACCCTATAACAATCAAATCAAGTATTAGAATGATCATATCTGTGTTTCAATCACTACATTAATGATACAACAGTCATTTTATATTACTTTTCATCCATTATTTCCATAAGGTTTTCTTGCGTCTACAAAAGGCTCTTGTCATTTGAATTTCAAGTTGAAATTGTTTTTCGTCTTATTCATACATGGTTTGATAGAGTGTAAACTACTCATCGCAGAAAAGTAGTTTTTAACATTAATAGATTCTTCTGTGAAGTCACAAAAAACCCAACACTTGATGGATGTCGTTTTTTCTCGAAAAACGCATTTTTTTCAAATTACACAAAATTATGTGTTTCGATCTACTTTGAAGCATCCAAAAATAGTTTTTTCTGAGTCAGCATGACAAACTGAGTATGAAAACGATATTAAATTAATTCTATTTCAAAAATTGTATTAAGATTGAACATTATCAATCTTTGTTCTGGATTGCTTATGATTTATTCTTGCAATCTTATCTAGTTTTTTCAATTATATAATGAAGTCAAATGTTTTATCTCATTTGATTCATCACACTACTAATCATAAAAGTATGCATTGTTTTTCTTCTCTTTCTTTTTCTTTCTAAAAAAAATCATTTTTTCTGAAATGTGAGCCAAATATTTGAAATTCTATCCGTAATTCTCAATTTTCCTCATCAAACTATTCGAAATCAATGGCAAAAAGCTGAGCTGACTGTTATATGTTTCCGAGCTTTGCATAGTCTTTCATTTTTTGATGAAAGTTGTAGTCATTGTTGCAAGTAAAAACTCAAAAAGTTCTCAAGTTATTGGAAACCATTAAAGTGCACATGAGTCAGCTCAGTTTTCGATATTGATTTCAAACATGACAATCATATTACATAAAATCTTAGTTTTTATGAGGAAAATTGAGAATTATGGACAGAATTTCAAATATTTGGCTCACATTTCAGAAAAAATGATTTTGTTTTTAAATTTACGAAACCTCTATAGAAAACATAAGTATTGTTGACGTTCATTTTCATTACGTTCTAAGATATTAAAACAATATACAAAATTCATTTAAGTTTCGCACAATAATAATTGTTAAACATAAATATTTTGATAAATAGTTAACTTTCTTACATAAATTATATTTTATGAAGAGTATGAGATGTTTAGTAATAAAGTATTTGTTAAATTTAAGACAAACATAGATCTTTTTGAAAATGATAGTATATGCACTTCTTTACTATCAATATGAAACACCTTCATGATTGGTTTTTCATACTTAAAAATTAGTGAAGCGAAAAACTAATGTCAAAATGTCACTTTTACCAGTATGTATCTGACATGGCAGTAGTGGATGAGTGTTACTAAATACCACTGATCAGTTGCAGATGAATTGTAACAGTTAATACTCATTGCGTACATAAAATTAATGCTATAATGTTAATTTTTAATGTCAATCGTTAATCGAATTTAAATGGTAGCACGCCATCTAAGCGTGCTTTTTTTCGAAAAAAAAACACAAAATTAAAGGTTTTTTTTTTGGCGAGTTTTGTAGAAAAACTTTAAGATAAACTATGTAGACTCGCTGAAATGAGAATTTCGTCGATAAACACATGCAAATGCTGTGAAACGCTTTAAAATCCTGACAAACGTGTTAACATGTAGTTTTACCTATTTATTGTTTGCCTGAGTAACTCCATTCATGAACATAATAAAAATAGTGATTCTTTTCGCGGACAGAGCGATTAGAATCTTATACTCTCTACTAAAGTTTGAAAGGTCCAGCGAATTAAGCATACATGCCATCGTGTTATTCATACCTACAAAAAATGTGGAATTAGCTGGCATTTGGTAAAAGCATGATTCCCTTTTATTCTAGAACCGATAGAAAGAGAGGACTTTTGCAGAAGTGAATATGTTTATGTAATTTAGTATCAAAGATGAAACTCATTTATCGTGGTCGTTTCACATTTTTTTACAGTTAGCAATAGCGAAGTGACGTGTATGCTCAAATTTGGTTGACCACCAAAACTTTATTAGACAGCCATGAATCCCTGAGTTTTGCTGTCTACGCAAAAAAATCACCATTTTTTATTATGTTCATGAATAGAGTTAGACACGAAACAGTGGATATGACACAAACTATATAACTAATACAGTGAAAAATATTAAGATCATGCAGATCTTCACTTCTACACATATAAAGAATCATAAAAAAAACAGATCCAAGGTATCTGTCACTTTTATGAAAGTAGAGAATTCAATAGCACTTCTACTGGAAACGAAATTCGAAATTTTCTGTTTTTTTTGCTTTTGAGATATAAGTAAACTAAAAACCATTCAAATTTCTTAGGGCACCATATATTTCACGAAAGAAATTCATCTTAGCCATTGATATCACATGAATAGCATAATTATACACTAGCCTCAGTGTAATTTTTACTGATGTTACGATATGTTGAACATGTGAACATGGACTACGTAATTTATAATATGTATTTGACTCGTACATTTTAATGGTACGCTCTAAAAAACTCTGTTTTCCGTGGAAACTCAAATCCTTCGAAAAATCTCTTGAAGTTTTCGTGGAATTTTTCAGTGTGTAAAAGCGTTTTGATAAATACCTTGTTGATTTGAGAGTATCTGGAAATCTGAAGGTATTTTGAAGATATCGATCTAGACACAGTAGAATTATTTTCAGAAACGTTTATGATATTTTAGGGAATCATAAAGGTATCCAAGAACATCTATTTTGCCGAAGAAAATAATCTAAAACAGATAAAGATATACGAGAATAAGTTTTCGGCTTTGCAAAATTTTCCTTCCGAGGTAAATGATGTAAATTTCGCCACTTTCGGGAGAAAACGACATTTTTTCTATGGATTCCAGCCAGAAAATCATGCAGTCGGACGCCGAAATTATTAATCTGCTTCAGCAATCTGAAAAAAGGTATATTAGAAAATCTAGATCGACTTACAAACATTTGCTAGGCTTCAAAGAACTTTCGGTGTTTTATAAATCTTC